GGCTACAGCCTTACTTCCACCAGTGATCCAGTAACCATTGACTCTGAGTGCATTGAGGGTTTGTCCTCTGCCTTGGTGTTGTATCTTGGTATGATAGTGTGCGATGATGAGGTTTGTAACAGCACCATCTTTAGGAAGGATCACAGGGTGTCTTAACTCGAGAGGCACAGATGCCTTCCTTAGTCTTCCTCCTACTCTCATTATGCCATCTTGGAGGAATGGGTCAAGCTGAAAGAGTGGGTGGTTGCAAGGCAGCCTTCCTAGTTTCTGGCTGAGTGTGTTTAACTCCTCTTGAAAGGCACCTTGTTGTGCAAGCTTGACGAGAGTCTGTGCAGCTTGTTTTCTCTCTTCCACGTTTAAAGGCTCAGCGGTCCTGATCCTCTTCGCCAGCCGCTGGATACGAGCAATGACGTTGACAGCTGTAGCCCATCTTGAGAACCGCAGCAGATAGTTCTGGATGTCAAACTGTCTTGCTGCCTCAACCTTCAACACCTGAGTAGTTCTCACCTCTGGGTCTCCCACCAGCAAATCTGAAGTAGCCTGTTTGGTGGCTCTCTCTCTTTCCCATAGAAAGCCTGGGCCAGAGAACCAGTATGACTTGATGAGGTCAGCTACTTTGAGGCCTCTCGATTCATGATCAGCAGGGTTTTCTCCTGTGTCAACATAATACCATTTCCGTGCATCTGTGTTTTCTCGAATTCTTTGAACGCGATTTGCCACAAACACATGGAACCTTCTTGCTTCATTATTGATGTAACCAAGCACGACCTTTGAGTCTGTCCAAAAATATTCGTCATCAATCTTGAGCTCTAGCTCCTCCCTTAACATGCTGCTCACAGATGCCGAGGTTACTTCTGCAATTAACTCAAGTCTCGGTATGGTGACTATTTTGGTTGGTGCAACCCTCGCCTTGCCCATGACCAAGGAGCAGCATACCCTTTCTCTGCTTACCACTCTGATGTAAGAACACTGTCCATACCCTTGACTGCATGCATCAGAGAAATGATGAAGCTCGGCTCTCTGAATCTCACCAAAGCTATCGGGTATGAAGCATCTTTGAATTTCAATTCTTTCCAGGTTCTCCAAATCCTTCATCCACGTCTCCCACCTTAACTTCAAGTCTTTGGGTAGCGGCTCATCCCACCCTGTGCCTCTCTGACACATCTCTTGCAGCACTCTTTTCCCTTCAAGAACGACTGGGGCTAGAAACCCCAAAGGGAGGCCACAATTGAGAGGATCCCTCGGCGCGTTGCCGGTTTCTCCTCAAGTGACACCTTGAAGGAGAAGCTATCATTTTCAGTGTTCCACCTTATACCTAGTACTCTTTGAACTGGCAAATCATCGTGATTAAGATCAACATTCTTCACCTCCGTAGCACGCGCTGCAACCTCCACAGAGTCAAGGACCTCTCGACTGTTGGAGAAAAATTAGTGAAGGTGCAGCTTACCTTTGGCACACACAGCTTGGGCATCTTTGACCAGTTCAATTGCCTTACCCACCAACTTTACACTTATGAGACCATCGTCGACATAGAAATGTTTCTGGAGGAAGCTAGCTGCGGAGGGGTACTCTTTCTCACATTGGCTGGCAAGGTGTTTCATGCCATAATTGGCACAGCCAGGGGAGGATGATGCTCCAAACAGGTGAACCTTCATGCGGTACTCTCTGGGTTCAGAGTTTGCGTCTCCATTTTCCCACCAGAGAAACCGCAGGTAGTCTCTATCATCCTCGCTCACATGAAACCTGTGGAACATTTTCTCAACATCACACATGACTGCGATGGGATATTTCCGGAAGCGGCACAGCACGGCTGTTAGGCTATTTGTGAGGTCAGGTCCTGATAGCAGATGGTCGTTTAAGGAGGTGCCTTCATACTTTGCAGAGCAGTCGAAAACCACTCTGATTTTGCCTGGTTGTCTGGGGTGGTAAACTGTTTGATGTGGGATATACCAGACTTTCCCCAGCTCTGCTTGGTTTTCCACTTTCTCTGCATCTCCGTCCTTGAAGACACTTTCCATAAATTTCACGTAGTTTATTATGATTTTGGGATCTCTGTCCAGCTTCCTCTTTAGATGCTTCAGCCGTACTAACGCCAGCCTTTTGTTGTCTGGGAGATGTGGACGTGCTTTGAAAGGGAGAGGCATCTCCAGGCGACCATCCTTATTTTGTTGGATTCTCTCTTTCAAGATCTGCAGGAAGCATATATCTTCTTGAGATATGCTCCTGTCACCAGGTTTTGTGCCTGCAAAATCGGACTCAAGGGCCTTGATGACAGCAAATGGCGTTATGGGTGGCACCTCTCTGACAGACACTCGATGGCAAAAACCAGTCACATCTTTAGCCTGCACACGCTGTGGTGCGCTTCCCACAATGCTCCAACCAAGGTTCGTCTCAATAGCATAAGGCTCATAGTCGCCCCCAGTGATGACCCTTCTTGGAATTAACGCTCTGGAGCAGTCGTATCCAATCAACAATCCAACACCACAGTCCATCAACGGGGGTATCTCTTGGGCCATGCTTACAAGGTGTTTCCATTTGTTGGCTGTCTGACAAGTGGGAAGATGTGCGCGGTCAAGAGGAATGAAGTCCCTTGTGTAGGCTGGAGGCAAATTGATGGAAACGTTAGAGGAAAATCCTCTAACTTTGAGCTTGCATAGTCTTTGACTCTTCATGACTGAGTCTCTCCCCATCATGGTGGAAAGTTTAAGTTTCACTGGTTCCATTGTTGCTTGTAGCTTTTCGCACGCCTCATGATCAACAAATGTGTGACTGCTTTGAGTGTCCAATAGTGCATACACTAGGGTTTCAGTGTCCGGAGCACTAAGTGTTGAGATCCACACTGGGACTATCATCGACGTACTCCCAGCTTCACCTCCACTCACACAACATGATAAAGACGACGTAATTTCTTCAACTGCGCCCTGAGTTGATGGTTCTCCTGCTGTAGAACGATCTTCATGCAATGGTGTTGGGTGACTCTTTTTGCATATGCTACACATGGACCTGTTTCTACAGTCTTTAGAATTGTGACCCTTTCTTAGAAATGCAAAACACAACTTATTTTCAAGTATGCATTTTTTCTTATCCTCTACAGATATGTCCATAAGCCTCTTGCATTTATGTATGGAATGGTTCTCACTACAGCAAATACACTGGTCACTATTGTAATTTTGTGTTGGTGTGTTCCATTTCTTTGGTTTCTCTGCATCTCCCAACTTGATTTGACCAGGGTCAGATTTGGTGGTGGAGCTTGATGGAGTTGAGGGTTTCACATTTGTGGCAAACGTGTTTGCTTTTGAATGCTTCATTTCTCTTGTTGGTGCCTCTGCAGAGTGCCTTAAGGCATGTAAGGATGACACTGGATTGCATGCTATGCGTGACTCCTTAGAGACAAAGGAAGCAAACTCATGAAAGCTTGGATAGTCGTTGCCCCGATCTAGCTGCTCTGTGACATAACAGTTCCATCTAGATGTCACCCAATCAGGAAGCTTGACTAATATTTTCTGATTCTACTCGCAGTCGTTAAGAGCCTGTAAGCCCTTTATGTGGGGCATTGCATTACTACATCTTTGGAGGAAATCACTGAACTCTCTTAGCTTGAGATATTCCTTTCCTCCAATCTTCGGCCACCCATTTAACTTCTCTCTGAAAGCCCGCTGTACTACAAAGGAATGGCCATATCTAGCATTTAACCTATCCCATGCCTGTTGATAGGCTTCTTCATCTTTTCTGTAGAAGCTGCCTTCAAGAGAAGATTTTGCCTCGCCTGCTATGTACTTTTTCAGGTGGAATAGCCTGTCTGCAGGGTCAGAGTATCGTCTCTCTATGAGGGCTTTGAAGCTTATGCTCCATTCTGTAAACTTCAGAGGATCGCCCGAGAATACAGAAGGTTCTGGAGTTGGCAAGCGGGTGAGAGCTAATGACTCTTGTAGCGATTTGACCAATGATGTCTCGTTTTGCACAACCTGCCGTTCTTGATCTGGGATGTGGTGAGCGAAGGGGTGTGCATCACTCACTTTGCTGAATGGAGGACTGCGTGTCCCATCCCTTTCCTCTTCTTCAGTGTAGACATGTAGCCTTGCCTGAATTACATTAATGTCCCTCTGGTTTTCCAGTTTTCTCAACTGCTGACGTTGAGCTTCGATGGCAGCTTCCATATCAACTTCGGCTCTCTTTGCAGCCAGCTGAGCAGCCGCTTCCGCCCTCATAGCCGAAATGCTAGATGACTCTGAGAGATGTTTAGAATTGTGACAGCTGGGTGCAGTAACTCTGGAGGCTGTGGATCCATAGATGGACCTAGCATATTCATTATCAAGTAGCATGCGTAACCTTGATCTTTCTGCCACTGTGTCAAACTCATCTTCATCTTCAGTGAGACGTACTCTCATCAGCTGCAGCAAGTCAGCCGTCACGGCTGAGCATGCATCAATCTTTGTTCGAATTTCTTGACTTGGTGAGGTTTGGAGTCGAATTCTGTCATACTGTTCCTTTAATTCAGACTCTAGCTTCTCGGCCTCATCCATCATATTATACATGTCACTCTCAGAGCATACTTGCTTTAACCTTGTGCGAATGTCTCTTACGTTGCTTTTCCACTTCTCATATGTTGCTTTGAACCTCTTCTCCTTTTGAGTTAACTCTTGATCTTTCAGTTCCTGCATTTTTGGTGTTAATCGCCTTTCACGAGAGGATTTTCTTGTTTTTGTCTCGGATTTCTCAGACACTACACTTTTTTCATCTTCCAAACCCCCTGCATCTTGTACTTCTGACATAACATTAGGGTGACTATGGCCATCTTTAGACATTTTCAGACTTTAAAAGGGGTATCTTATGAAGGGGACAAGATATCTAAGGTAATTACAAGAATGGAATGGATGCAATAGGCGGAAAATTATTAAAATGAACACAAAGGCAGCTTAGCTTAGGTACTTACGTATGACAGTAAATAAACTTCAGTTTCAGCCTTCTTAAAGCTTTCAAACAATAAGTAAGAAAACAACAATAATTTCCAGAACTTCATCAGATTGCCCTTTTTCCTTTTTTTTATTTATTTTTATTTTTATTTTTTGTTACACAGTCTGAAATTTGAACACAATTATTTTCTTGTCCATTTTAGCAAATTTGTAGCTCATGTTCTATCCATCAACACAGGAGGCATAACAACTGCGTAATATAGCCTGAGGACTCACGCTTCTTGAAACCGCTTCTTGGAGCGTCCACTGAATCTGCAGCTCCTGATTGGTTGTTCCAAAATGCAAAGCAACGTGTCCACTGAAGCCTGTAGCTCACTGTAGCTTGCTGCAGGATGAGGAGAGCTCTGCACACCGAAGCCTCCAGATGGAATGGGCCAACGTTTTCACTGTATCTACTCTGGTCGAAAGAATCCACGCTTCGTACTGATGTCCACAATTCTTTTATTTCTCTCTCACAATCATGGAGCACCGTGAAAACTAGAAACAAGTAAAATAATATCAATAGCACATATGATATTCATCTCAGCCACTTATTTCCTTTCACAAAGTGCACAAGTGTTAAACAAAGAACAGTATAACGTTTTTTACCGTGTACGTCTTGTAAACCCAGCAGTAGAAAAGATGTATATTCCGAAAAGTCCGCCGTGTTACCGCTCCATGTCGTCTCTCCCTCGACTCACAGGAAGCGACTACCTGACAACAATCTCAACAGAAACATTTCTTATAAGAAAGATGTATCAGTCCACTGCAAAGGTACACAAATATGAGTACCAAATAAAGAAAACAAACAGAGACAACGTAACGATCTCAGATGCGCTGCTGGTGTTGTCTTGGCAACCAACACAAACATTTCAACGTCAGCTACAGAGCTTCTCTCCCTATCTCTAAAGGAGAGACCAGCCACCCTGCGGAGAAAACATTTCAGCCGCTTGTATCAAAGATCTCGTACTTTTGTTCACTACCCAAAGCTCGTGACCATCGGTGAGGGTAGGAATGCAAACTGACCGGTAAATTGAGAGTTTTACCTTCCGGCTCAACTTTCTCTTCACCACGACAGGCCGGTACAGTCCCCACATCACTGCAGATGCAGCACCGATCTACCTATCGATCTCGCACTTTCTCTCACTCGTGAACAAGACCCCCAAGATACTTAAACTCCTACACTTGAGGCAGAACCTCACCCCTGACCTGGAGAAGGCATTCTACCCTTTTCCGATTTAAGACCACAGTCTCGGATTTAGAGGAGCTGATTCTCATCCCAGCTGCTTCACACTCTGCTGCAAACCGCTCCAGTCAGAGCTGGAGATCACGTTCTGATGAAGCCAACAGGACTGCTATTTACAGATGATGTGGCCTAAGGATCAGATTTCTACCCAACATACCAGTTCACTAAAGTCCCAACAATTAGTACTAGTTTAAAACTATTTTCATGTTTTATGTGCGTTAGCGTTTAAAGTACATCTTAAACCTGTTGAGCTACAGTTACATTTCTGTTTCCTTGTGTTCATTTCTTGATCATGTTCCCTGTTTTCTTACAGAAAAACAGATTCCCGTTCCAGTGAAACAGGAACCAGTTGAATTCAAGCAACCGGTTGAAGTTGATAAATTTAAATCACGTTACAAGAAGATGATCCCTCTGGTTCCTCCCAGTCCAGTAAGTAGGACCATCTTCTATTGAGCCTTTAACAGGAATTAGGCTTGAAATGACATCCTAATTCTTCTATCACAGCTAGGATTGATGACAGTGTCCCTTACTGCCATTACAGATGTGCTGTTAGTTTTTTACAGATGAATCGAACAGAACAACAGGTTCTAAACGTCAGATTCAGATTCTTTCTGAGTTAGGATAGATGATGATTATCTTTCCTCTCTTCTGACTGAACTACCTGCAGGTTGGGGAGAATTTCTAAACAAAGCAATAAAAGACTTTTACTTCTAAACTCAATGGGATACAAAGTTGGAGTAAAAGAAGATTTGTGGTTTGTCTATTAAGCATTTCCTATTGTATTCCTGAACCGCTTTAATCAAGTCAAGTGTGAAGAGTCCAGTTAGTTAATAAGTCACAGAACTGAGACATGAGTGGATGGATGTAGGAAGGAATGTTAGAAATAAAAGTCTGAGATGTTCTTCACATGCACTCACAAGACTTTCCTTCTTTCAAAGCTTTCGTTGAGTTTTCTAAAGCTGAGTGGATTTTTTTAAACATTGTCCAGGTGGATCTGGTGGTGTGTCTGGTGTGTGGCAGCGGGGGAGACGAGGACCGTCTGTTACTGTGTGACGGCTGTGATGACAGCTACCACACTTTCTGTCTGATCCCTCCTCTGCACGACGTCCCTAAAGGAGACTGGAGGTGCCCCAGGTGTTTGGCCCAGGTGGGTTCACTCTCACTCTGTCATGGAGCAGCAAATCCAGATGTTTTGATCATGTTGATCCCTACAGCTGTAAATGGTTCAGATGGTTGTTTCAATGAAGACTTCAGTTAAAACTGTACTGCAGTCTAATAAATCCAAAAGCTCCCAACAGTAAACCTGTTCAACTGTTTTTACAGGAATGCTGCAAACCTCATGAGGCGTTCGGGTTTGAACAGGCACACAGGGACTATTCCTTGCGTGCATTTGGGCAAATGGCAGATGCTTTCAAATCCGATTACTTCAACATGCCAGTTCATGTAAGCACTAAACTTCAATTCAATTCAATTCAGGTCTATTTATTTAGCGCCAAATCACGACAAGAGTCGTCCAAGAATCTAGACGTCAGTGACTCTGCTGTCGCGTTTAAACCTTGCTTCTACATCTTCACAGATGGTACCCATGGAGCTGGTGGAGAAAGAGTTCTGGCGTTTGGTTGGAGCCATTGAGGAGGATGTAACAGTCGAGTACGGCGCTGACATCGCATCCAAGGAGTTTGGAAGTGGATTTCCAATTCCCAATGGGAAATTTAAGGTCTCCCCAGCAGATGAGGTAGTTTTTTTATATAAAACCAAGTCTTGTTTACAGAAGACTGTATCTGTTGGCTTTAATCTACAATAATAAAAAGGTGGTTTTATGACAGAATGGCTTGAATTAGTCCTGATGACTTTGTTCCTGCTGCAGAAATACCTGAATTGTGGCTGGAACCTGAACAACCTGGCGATGATGAACCCGTCTGTTCTGACTCATGTAACAGCTGACATCTGTGGGATGACGCTGCCGTGGCTCTACGTCGGCATGTGCTTCTCCTCCTTCTGCTGGCACATTGAGGATCACTGGAGCTACTCCATCAACTACCTGCACTGGTACGCTGTAACCAAGGTTTCCCAGATCTGCTTACTTTGGGACATCAGTGTCAGAAATGTGAAGCAGAAGCCAGCTAGTGAGCTGACATGTGTTCCAATGTGTTTTTTTTTTCTTAAGGGGGGAACCCAAAACCTGGTATGGAGCCCCTGGTTTTGCCGCGGAGCAGTTGGAGGAAGTGATGAAGAAACTGGCCCCAGAGCTGTTTGATTCTCAGCCTGACCTGCTGCACCAGCTGGTCACCATCATGAACCCAAACACCCTGATGGCTCACGGAGTCCCAGTATGTACGACCGAGTCTCCGTTCACCGTCTGACGCTTTGGCTACAAGCTTTGCTCTCAATCAGTCTACAAAGACGTGTGATGGTTTTACTGAAAATGATTTAACTGTCAGCGTGCTGCACTGTCCCAGAGCTCATTTCCTGTTATCTATCATTAAACCAGCTGATCTGGACAATGCTGCATTAGCCCTTTAGCATTTAGCTCCTCCTGCTACACCATCTGCTGAAATCCTGATGAGTGATATTTTTATTTGCCAAATTTGGTATTAAAACCATTTTATTTAGTGTTCCAACATATTCATCGTCACTGTCTCTCACTAAGCTGTAAAAACAGAGCGAAGAGAGAGGTTAAAATAAATGAACGAACTGTGTGTTTCAGATTTACAGAACAAACCAGTGTGCTGGGGAGTTTGTCATCACGTTTCCCAGAGCTTATCACAGCGGCTTTAATCAGGGCTTTAACTTCGCTGAGGCAGTCAACTTTTGTACTGTGGACTGGGTATGTGTCTCTTTAAACCTAAGCATTGTCTGTTATCTGTAGTTTCAAAGGTTCCTCTAGTTAAATGTGTTTTTCTTTTCAATAACTCCAAACCAGAATGCATTTCTTTAATACTAAGAATAGAAACATGTAAATTCTTTATATTTGAGAAGCTTTTGTGCTTTATTAAAATGTGTTCCTGTTCTGTTCCACTCAGAGAAACATCCCATCACATGCCACTCATCAGCAGACAGCAGAGATGTGAGTGAATTAGATCTGTTTGTTTCCTCTCTGTCCACCCAGATGCCTCTTGGCCGGCAGTGTGTGGACCACTACCGCCTGCTGCACCGGTACAACGTGTTCTCCCACGACGAGATGGTGTGCAACATGGCCAGAAAAGCAGGAACGCTCAGCGTTGTCCTGGCCTCCGCTGTCCACAAGGACATGCGGCTCATGATCAAAGAAGAACAGGAACTAAGAGACAAAGTCAAGAAAATGGTACAACGGGTTTTCAGTCTGTGTGAAACTTGTAGCGTAATTGATGAAATTGTGTTTTGTAGTTTCCAAACTTTCAGCCACTCGTGTAGGTGTGTTTGCTTTGAATCCATGTGTTGTTTCCCCATATCTTCAGGGGGTTCTGCAGTGCACAGAGGCAACATACGATCACCTCCAGGATGACGAGAGGCAGTGTGCCAAGTGCAGGACCACTTGCTACCTCTCTGCCCTCACCTGTCCCTGCAGCCCAGGTGTCCTCGTCTGTCTGTACCACATCAGAGACCTCTGCTCCTGCCCCGTCTCCAACTACTCAATGAAGTAGGTCTCTGCAGGGCAAACAGGATGTCTGGAAGAACTGGCTGAATGTGCTGGATGTTGTACAAATAAAAGTCACCATCAGGTTTAACAAGAAACTGAATATGGTCTCAAACCTTTCTCAGTTCAGTTTCTGAGAGAAAAGTGAAAAAAAAAGAAGAAGAAACCTTTGCAGATGTTGGTGAAGAAATAGTGATTTAACATCAGGTTACAATGATTGAAACCCTTTGAGGACTAAATTTAGGCAAAGAGCTGTCACAGTTTGCAGCCGTATATAAATGAAGAACCTTCCGTACCAACTCGGTGTCATTCCAACTCTGCACATTTTCTTTCAGTTTCATGTTTCCAAATTGTTACAGAAGAGAAAAATGTCTTTTAAAGCTGCTCTTTGGTTCCTGAGGTGTGGACACAGAGAAGAAGAAAACAGTCTGGTTCCCCAGAAGCTGATATTTGTGTTTGTTTTGTTGATGCAGTTACAGATACACCATGGATGACCTGTTCCCCATGATGAATGCTGTGAAGCAGCGAGCAGAGATGTACGATGAGTGGGCCTCCCGTGTGACTGAGACTCTGGAGGCTAAACTGGAGAAGAAGAAAGGTGAAGTTGAACAACTCGCAGCAGCAAAGGGCGGGAACTGCGATCTTCTCAGATCTTTTAGCTAGTTCAGTTCAGGTTTCCCCTGCTAGCATTACTCCAGTCTTTTGCCACCTGATTCTCATTTGCCTTATAAATTTTTTTTTTATATTGTACTGGTTGATGCACAGTGGAGCAGTGGTTAGAGCTGTCGCCTTGCAGCAAGAAGGTCCTGGGTTCGCTTCCCGGCCTGGGGTCTTTCTGCATGGAGTTTGCATGTTCTACCTGTGCATGCGTGGGTTCTCTCCGGGTACTCCAGCTTCCTCCCACAGTCCAAAAACATGACTGTTAGGTTAATTGGTCTGTCTAAATTGTCCTTAGGTGTGTGTGTGTGTGCATGATTGTTTGTCCTGTGTGTCTCTGTGTTGCCTTGCGATGGACTGGCTCTCTGTCCAGGGTGTACCCCGCCTACTTGCCCGTTGACTGCTGGAGATAGGCACTAGCCCCCCCACCCCCACCCCTCCCACCCCACCCCCGCGACCCTATGTGGACAAAGCGGGTTCAGAAGATGGATGGATGTACTGGTTGAGTTAATTAATCTTGCAAAAACAGCAACACTAAAATGATTATGAAGAAACATTTGGTTTTGGGGTTCTGCCAGATTATTAGTAAGTAGACATGCCCAGTCGTCAGGTAGTTATATCTGTGTGTATCCGGTGTGTGGGTCACGCTGTGACTGAAGCAGTGTGTCTTCCTCAGGCCTGCCGGTCTTTCGTTCCCTTCTGTCTGAGTCAGAGTCTAAGCTGTTCCCCGACAACGACTTGCTGCGGAGGCTGCGTCTGGTTACACAAGATGCAGAGAAGTGTGCCTCGGTGGCACAGCAGCTGTTAAACGGCAAGAAGCAGACCAGGTAAGATGTATCACACAGCTCAGGTCTGTCTGATGGGCTCCCACGTGTGAGGGATGGTGTCATGAGGGTCGCTGCCTTCGTCCCCAGGTACCGATGTGGGAGTGGGAAGTCCCGCAGCCAGCTGACGGTGGAGGAGCTCAGCTCATTTGTGAGGCAGCTGTATAATCTGTGCTGCAGCCTTCCACAGGCTCCGATGCTGAAGGTGAGCCTATAACAGGAAATTATCTTTAGAAATGTTTCTCGTCGGGCTGGGCGATATGGAATCTATCACAGTAATCATTTTCCTATCAGTCAATGTGGATCTAAATCACAATATAAATCCTACTTTTGACTGTCTATAAAGTTCCCTGGTGCTATGAGTGATGTTGGAAGATATAGTTTTCATTTCAAGATTTATTTTGAAAATCTGACCCTGTCATCAAAGATTATATAACTGTTTAGAATAAATAAGGTTTAACTCTGCATCCTGTTGCTCCAGCGTGTGGCGCTGTACTTTGTTTTGTTGACTTTAAATTGTCAAAACACATAAGCGATGTCCTTCGCTGAGTTCTTCGTCTTTTCTTCTCTCTGGGAATTAATTTTTGTTGCCTTTGTTTAGTGATGTTTTACCTGAAGTCAGGGGCTACAGCTGCACAAATATTAACCCTCAGAATAGAACAGAAGAGAAAGTGCCTTTCCTCAGTGAGGAAATAATGGTGTCACAGCAGCAAAGCAGGAGACGAGGAATAAAAAATAAATGGCAGTGAACAAAAACATGCAAGAAATTTGTAAAAGATTTAGCTGAATTCACCACTATTTGTCGTCGTCTTCCTCCGCTTATCCGAGTCCAGGTCGTGGGGGCAGCATCCCAGCTAGGGAGCTCCAGACCGTCCTCTCCCCGGCCTTCTCCACCAGCTCCTCCGGCAGGACCCCAAGGCGTTCCCGGACCAGATTGGAGATGTAACCTCTCCAACGTGTCCTGGGTCGACCCGGGGGCCTCCTGCCGGCAGGACATGCCTGAAACACTTCCCCAGGGAGGCGTCCAGGAGACATCCTGACCAGATGCCCAAACCACCTCAGCTGACTCCTTTCGATCTGGAGGAGCAGCGGTTCTACTCCCAGTCCCTCCCGAATGTCCGAGCTCCTCACCCTATCTCTAAGGCTGACCCCGGCCACCCTACGGAGGAAACTCATTTCGGCCGCTTGTATCCGCGATCTCGTTCTTTCGGTCATTACCCAAAGCTCATGACCATAGGTGAGGATTGGGACGTAGATCGACCGGTAAATCGAGAGCCTGGCTTTCTGGCTCAGCTCCCTCTTCACCACGACAGATCGGCTCAGCGTCCGCATCACTGCAGATGCCGAACCAATCCGCCTGTCGATCTCCCGATCCCTCCTACCCTCACTCGTGAACAAGACCCCGAGATACTTAAACTCCTCCACTTGAGGTAGGACCTCTCCCCCGACCCGGAGTTGGCAAGCCACCCTTTTCCGGTCGAGAACCATGGTCTCAGATTTGGAGGTGCTGATCCTCATCCCAGCCGCTTCACACTCGGCCGCGAACCTACCCAGCAAGAGCTGAAGGTCAGAGCTGGATGAAGCTAGGAGGACCACATCATCCGCAAAAGGCAGGGACGAGATTGTCCTCTAGTGCGTATTTACCACTATTATATAAATAAATGAATGAATGTTAAAAGCCGCGCCCGGCTGCTATTGTGCCATCAGCATGGTTCTATTCCAGCCTCATGATTGGTCCAGCATGGAGCAACTCTAATTATCACTGGCTGTTCATCTGTTCTTTATAGCGACCTGTTCTCATTTGTCTATCAAGAAAAAAGCATTTAGAAATATATTGTTATTTTAGGGTTTCACTCAGCACTGATCAGGCTTCTCTTGGGGGATTTAAAGAGCCATACCTGTTGGTTTACGACCAGAACAGAGCGCAAAAAGGATGTTTTGACCTGTCTGATCTTCTTCAGGAACTGTTGAATCGCATTGAAGACTTCCAGCAGCACAGCGAGAAGGTTCTGGCAGAGGAAGCTCCTAATGTTTCTGAGATCCAGAGCCTGTTGGACGTCAGTTTTGACTTTGACGTGGACCTTCCAGAGTTGCCACGACTAAGAGAGAGGCTGGAACAAGCACGGTGGCTGGATGGGGTGCAGCAGGCCAGCGCCCAGCCTGCCACCCTCACGCTGGAGACCATGAGGAGGCTCATCGACCAGGGAGTCGGTTTGGCACCTCATCCCTCTGTGGAGAAAGCCATGGCTCGCCTTCAAGAGCAGCTCACTTTGTCTGAGCAGTGGGAGGAGAAGGCGAGCAGCCTGCTGAAGGCCAGGTGAGGGCAGCTCTCCCTGATCCTTCTAGATATTTCCATCTTAACCAGAGGATAATTCAAACCCTACCAACTCCTTACGACCAGACGTCACTGCTCTTGATCCAGAAACAAATCCTTTCTGAACCATAATCTTGTATTTTAGCTTCAAGTGTGTCCAGATGTTTGCACTGATGATAACTGAATCATGTAATCCTACGTCAGTGCTCCTGATTTTGCTTCATTTTAATTACAGCTAGTGCAAAATGCTGCTGCTAGAATATTCAACAAGATCAACAAAAAGTGAGCATCATATTTAGTTTTGCTCTCATTCCATTGGTGCACAAAGCTGTTCAGTATTAACTGTCATAAGTGCTTTTTAAAGGCTTTTAATGGCATGGCTGTCAGCAACGTGTCTCTCTTCTATCCATTATCAGATGAACTAATCTCAAGTCAAGATTCAGATGTTGTTCCATTGTGCTCTTTACTGCAGATTTAAGGCTTTACATGGTTGGAAATAATCTAAAGTTGATTTTTAAGCATTTAATTCCTCCAAGAAGCTTCATTCTTACCTGTGTGGACAGGGTTTTGTGTTCATTAGGTGTTAAATATGTAGAAATGTTCTTAATAACGAGCTTTAACAGTCCTGAATGAATCTCGGCTATGATACAAATCTTTTTCTAAAGGTTGATGCTCATCATGTGTGTTTTTTCTGGCACCAGACCTCCACACTCCATAGAGACCCTCAATGCTGCAGCTGAGAAGGCATCAGGAATCCCTGCTTACCTCCCAAACTGTCTTCTCCTCAAAGACACCATCAGCAGAGCCCGTGCGTGGCTTCAAGAAGCTGAGGAGCTTCAGGTAAGGACACATACACGGAGTCTGATAAACTAGACTCAGAAGTGTTTCTTACAGTAAGATGCTCCGCCTCTTCCAGGCCAGCGGCTGTATGCTGATGGTGGATCGCCTTTCTGACATGGTGCTAAGAGGACAAGCCATTCAGGTCCAGCTGGAGCCTTTAGACGGGCTGGAGTCTTTAATGGCTGATGTGCAGCAGTGGAAGGAGTCTGCAGCATCGACCTTCCTTCAAAAGGATTCCACGCTGACCTTACTAGAGGTAACATCCTGCTTTAGCTCCGGCTGCTTCACAGCTTCCTCTTTTTGACATCATAGCAAAAGCACAGGTGCTGTCATGGTTCACACAACACACAACTTTGTTTTATCAGGTAAAAGTCGATTCGAGTTTTAACTCAACCTTATATCCAGAACGGCGGGCCAGGAAATGTAGTCGTGTATAACCACAAAAATCCTTTAACTTTGTTGAGTCATTTTAAAATTTAACAGTCAAAAGTTTCCATTTCTGACGCTGTAACCTGCTGTGACAGTCATCTTGTTGTCAACACCAGTCAAATGAACTGAGGCCTTGTCAGTAGGGCTCAGGTCTAAAGTCTGTTTTACTGGGGTTGATGCAGGTCTTGTGTCCAAGATTTGAAGCTGGAAATGCGGGTTCTCCAAAGAGGAAGGTCAAGAAAGGGAAGGAATCCACCAAAAGCACCAAGAAGAAGTCTGCACGAGTCAGCAGTGTCAGCGACGTGGACAAAGCTCTCTCAGAGACCACGGATGCTACCGCTGCTGTAAGTTCAAGCCTTTAGAGAGAGAGAGAGAAATAAAGCCACGCTTTTAGCTTCGCTTTTTATGTCAGGATGAATTAAACAAACTTATTTTTGTGGCAGATTGTGATCCCTGAACATGGCTATAAATATTATGTATACCCAGCTATGGATCATTATTTGGTTTAAGTCCCGCCCCCTTCATGTAAACAAGTGGAACAATGTTTTATTAGGAGTCGATTCAACTTGATTACTGTTTTGATCAATAGTTCTATTCTCTGATGTGTTTAGCATCACAAACATTGTTAAGGTTGTTGTGTGGATTTGTCCCAGCAGACAGACGACATTTAGGGGTCTCCTCCTGAAGGACGGCAGATGGTTTCACTGCATAGGAACGTGATGGTGACAGAAACTGTGACAGGAGGAAATAATGCACTGTCTGCTTTTTATTCACCAGATGTCCACGCTGGAGGAGCTGCGTGTCAGAGAGATGGAAATGTTCTCTAATCTCAGGGTAGCAAACGAGTCAAAGCTTCTTCCCACCGCTGACTGCATGGATCTGAAGGTGTGTTTCTGTCAGAAGGCGCCCATGGGTGCGATGCTGCAGTGTGAACTCTGCAGGGATGCTTTCCACAGCGTGTGTGTCAGAGACCCATCAGACTCCTGCGAAGCACAGCCGTGGCTCTGTCCGCACTGCCGGCGATCAGAAAGGCCCCCGCTAAGCAAAGTCCTCTCCCTGTTAGCCTCTCTGCAGAGCACAGGGGTGCGCCTGCCGCAGGGCGATGCCCTGAACTACCTTATTGAGAGGACACTGAACTGGCAGCGCCGAGCACAGCAGATTTTACAGGCGTGTGACTTACCAGATCTAGAGGAGAGACCAGGGACCCCTCCCACACTGACACACTGGGTGTCGGGCTGCGACAACGTTCACACCAACTCTCAGGTTTCTTCTTGTCTCTGGACGACACTTTTAAATAACCAAAGAACAGCTTCAGATGTTACGTCTGAGGTTTTTTTTTCCCCTTCAGGCTCCATGTTTGACTCCTGAGTGGAACAGGTCAAGCCATGCTCAGACGGTCTTCTACACAGAGCAGAGGTGCATCCCTCTGCAGGGTCAGTGTTGTCTCAGTCTGAGCACTGAATGTTTGCTTTTGCTGTTTTACACAAAGCTAATAAGTGTGTGTTCCACAGGGCTGAGCAGTGAACTGGAGGAGCTGATGGTGGAGGGGCTCCTGCTGCAGGTGTCCCTGCCACAAGTCCAAAGCCTCTACCATGTCCTATTGGACAGAGCCAGTAGCCAGCACACCAACAGACCCACCTCGCCGTCGCAGGGGGAGTCCACAGCGTGTGACCAGCACATGCAGTCAGTCTCTCAGGGAACAAACATACCACTGAACCAGGTGAAGACATGGATGAGGGAACGCCTACCACCTGTCATACATAACCAACAACATCCCGTGCTAAAATGCACACAATCACTCATCACTTAGAGCAGGGACCGCCGGCTGTTTTCAGCCCTTGGGGGGATTTTGTGCAGCCTTTGACTTTGATTCCAGAACAGTCTGATTTTGTACAGCACTGGCTGATGAAGCAGGGGGACTCATGATGGTTTCAGACAAAAAGTATACAGATTCATAACAAGCTTATTAAAAAGAGGAGGTTAAAGATTATTCTTCTTCTCTCAATGTTCAGTGTGATTGTAATTAGGACCACAAACCCGGCTTTTACTAAAAACCTGGGCTTGTTAATATAACGGAATTTAACATAGCAAACATCTGCGAAGAATGGGTGAGCCACAGCTGCTTTTGTTTGCTGAGAAAACAGGAAGAAACAGCAATTGAATTCTTTTTATTTCAGATCTACAGAGAATTACTGATCCTTGCTCTAGGAACGTCATAATCTCTCGTTTTTATCATTTCCTTGTTGAGCAGGTTTATATATTTAAAAAAATTCACATTTTGACTGCTCATGAGTACTTTTACCGTGATGCTTTTATCTAAAAGTGGACGCCTGTTGTTTAGAGTGTGATATGAATCACCCTTAGCTGCGACAATGTTACTAAATACCTGTAAACTCCAGATGTTAGTAAATGTACATCTAATGGAACTGTCACTAAAATCATTAACACACACACAGTCTTGGTGTGAGTTTTATTGAGATGCTTTTGCCTTCAGGATGACACCAGCAGCACGAGGGAAACCATGACAACCTCAGAACGAAAAGCAAAGAGGCGTTTGGAGAGAGAAGGTCTGGACACGGAGCACAGGGGCAAGGACAAGAAACGCTCACACAAAAGACAAAGGATGAATAAAAAGAAGACGCAGCGCAGGCCGACCTCTACGTCATCCTCTCCTCGCTCTGACTTCTCCCAGTCGGACTCTGACGAGGACATGGCCATGTGTCCAGCAGAGAGCTGTCAGCTCCCAGAGGGCGATGAGGTGAAAAAGATGGATCATGACCAGAAACAGGATCCAAAAGCCGTGTGTAACAGTCCAGTCTGATATTTAGTGGCTTTCCGTGTCTGCAGGTGGACTGGGTTCAGTGTGACGGCAGCTGCAACCAGTGGTTCCATCAGGTGTGTGCGGGTGTGACGCCAGAGATGGCTGAGAAGGAGGACTACATCTGTGTCTCCTGTTCGCTGAAGGATGGACACACGAGGAAATGAAGAGCGTGTCACCAGTCCGTTACTGGAGCCTGAAATATGGATGTGTCACTACCCCCTCCCACCCCCACCTGTCCAACCCTTTTGTAACAGTGGTGCTATCTCCTCTTTGACTTGTTGTCCAGAACTATAATGTTTAGGGGGGTTTGTATTTTTACATATATATTATATATATTTCTTTCTTGTTTGTGGTTGTCTAAATGGAGAGAAAAACCAGGACGTGAAGTGTGCTGCATGGGACTTGATTTGGTCAGCACAAAGGAGTCTTACACCACCACACCCCAAAAACAGAGTTCATTAAAACTTAACTTCTTTGGAGCCTCTTTGCATGTTTAAGCAGAGCTATTGGGACAGAAGCTGAGGTCATCACCTCCTTAAACCCCTCAGACGTTACTATGACTTTAGTTTTTTTTAACCCCGTGTTTAGAACATGCATCCTAATATTATTATGCCCCTTTTTGGTTTTGTTTTGTTTTTGTAGAGTAGTTTTATTTATCTGAGCAATAATTTTTTGTCTGAACTGAATCTTATGGCTTAGCGATGGCGATGTGGCGTACAGAAAGTTACGCAGAAGGATGACTCAGCTGTGGAGACGTGCGGCGGCAGGCTGAAGGAAAAACACGCTGCTGACGCGCCGTTCTGTGACCCAGCTGATGACACAGACAGGACATGAGGAAAAAGTAAAGATGTTACGAGTTTTTATTGTGGAATAAAACCCCTTTTCTTCTATAGAGACTTCTTCTCATTTAATTTAGAACAAAGAAAGCTCCAGATGTCTCCATGTAGTCGATTTATTAACTCTTAATTATATTTTAAATGATCCAGACCTTACATCACAACCTTTGTGTCCCTGTGGGTTACCACAGCTGCATCTCATGTATGTGGGGGTAGAATTAATGTCACAGTAATTATAATTAGAAATTAATCCTTCATAGTCCCTTAGATATATGAGTCACACAATTATAGCCAGACGATATGTTAGTTCTCTGATATTTAAAACAACTTAAATTAGATTACAAACACTTGTAAGGCCCTGCAGCAGAATGACACCCTCCTTTTAAATTCCGATTAGTGATTTAATATTAGCTGGAATCCTTAAATGTACAAACCAGAAACAATGCGTCTCCACTCAGACGACACAAAGGAGTTTTAAAGGCTGCTGTCCAATGCTGGTAAAAAATTTTTAGTCATAAATTTGGTGAAGTTGGTTCGTAAAGACACAGAAGAATTTGTTCATGTGATTTCAAAATAAAGGTTCAAATGATTTAAATTGGAGATTTGTTGCATTTAACATTTCTTTGTTCTGTTGGAGCGGAGTAAGACTCTGGTAGGGAGTGACTTGATCTTTAAAAGAGGAGTGTCAGAACAGAAATCTAAATGAATTTGTATTCCCACTCTTGCCCACACCCAACCAGTAAAGTTGGCAAGAGATTTGCAGATTCGACTTTTGCAGCTCAATAACGTCTGAACAGAAAATAATAAAAAAAAAAAAACACGAAACACAACACACCTCGGAATCGTAGAGAACAAACTACAACCTCCTTTAAAAAAACGTCCTCTGTGTGGCGCTCTTCTCCCAACATGTTACATTGAACATGACAGCTCTCAGGGGCCGTCTGCAAATAGTAACACCAGAAACGACTGATGATAAGATATTAAAAAACTCCACACTTGTACACCGCAGTGTGAGCAAATTCACAAAATACAACACCACACACAGAAGAGACAGAAGGTACATAAAATATAGTTTATTATTGCAGGGAAACTTGGCTTTAGATTGTTGGTTCACAGATTCAATTCAAATTCAATTCAAAAATACTTCATTAATCCCAGAGGGAAATTGATTAATGAATTTAAAGAGCAAGTCACCCCTACAATAAACTTACTCCACTCCCACTTCATGTTTGAAAAATGCAACAAATGCTGTTGCTTGGCAGACCGAGAGGGCGGAGCCGCTAACAAATACACACACACACAGACTCACAATGGCATTATGACATCATAATATACCAGATGACATCATAGCATACCTCTTAGCCAATAGCGGTGGCAGATTTAAATTCAAATACAGTGCAGAATTTTTCCCTGACGACGGCGCAACACTGACAGTTTTAGGCAGAATATTTGAATTTTAACCAAGATGCACTGAACTGCCAAATTATTGACTACACGTGTCTGTAGCATGATTACACACCCCTTTATATAGTTTATCAGCAAAAAAAAAAGTGATTTGGTGGTGACTTGCTCTTTAAAGATCTAATGTAGTGAAGCTCAGGAGAGTCCATGAGAGCAGCAGGTAGATGCTAGCTGCAGTAGATGACTGAGTGATCTGTGGGGGTCAGAGTTTGATTCAGAGGCAGCCAGGATGTGGAGTCAGACAGAAGAGTGTTCAGACGTTTATACTGTTTCTTAGACGGACGGTTTCCTCTCAGCAGCCGAAGAAAGCTCAACATCCCCAAATCTATCAGCATCTGGGGGAGACGAAAAACTAAACTGAAGCAACTTCTGAGAGAAATCAATGGACAAAAATAAATATGAATATATAAAATATTACTGAAATATTTGTACAAATAACAAGGCATAGATTAGTTAAATAACGTGCCACATTTAGAGCACCCACGTTTTACTCAAACTACAGCAACACATTTTCAGCACAGTGTAAACTGATTCATGCTACTTATGTTACAGAACGGTAAATCCTTGTTCCCTTCAATTTTAATGCATTTCTTCATTAGTATATCATAAATATTAAAGCATCAAAGAGTTAAACAGTAAATAATTTATTTAATTGCATCTGTGCAGTTTTTGCTTGTTTGAAGTAACCATAGAAACACTAATTAAACCAAACATGGATTTTTAACATATACATAGGAGTCTTTTAACCTTTTAGATAGCAGCAATTTAAACTGGTTTGTGTTTACAACAAAATCTATTCTACTCCGATTACTCAGTAATGTCATGGAGATCTAATGTTTTGATTAAAATTGCAGATAAATTAGGTTAGAAACTGTCTATGATGATCATGTGACAGCTGTATACTGTTACTCACCTCTACAACAAAACAAACCAGGAAGTTGAGAGCAGCCACAGCGACGAGCAGCATCTTAAAGTTCATATCTGTGAAGCTGAAGAGCTTAAATAATTGGCTGAAGAAAGGACCAGGATACAACACCAGGCAGGTCATCACAGCGGAGTGGACCAACAGGAAACAAAGGAAAATCACTGGAGACATGACAGGATAACAGCCTAAATGTTAGAAAAGATTTACTTCTTCAGGTTACCTTAGAAAAGATCGTTTATTATCATTATAGTTCTGAAAGAGTTTTCTGTTCCCCACATTCTCATTTTTAGAGTTATGATGACTCACCGTTATGGTAGAGAGGTTTCTTGTGAGGGTAACTCTTGGTCACCACCACGGCCATAAAGATATACTGATAACCCGACAGGTTAAACACACAGGTGTTCTCCATGTTGGGTAGATTTTCTATTCCAAACACAGTTGAGTTGAGTGGAATAAACCTAAAAACACAGGTGATTAGGAATGAGTGACATCATGGATGTGTCAGAGGATGGGTGGAGTCTAACTAACCAATCCTGTGTGGTGGTGATGAAGAAGGAAGCCAGCTGACCCAGACTGATCAGACAGGTGTAAAGGAAGAGGCTGCCAAACACAGGCAGGGACAGCAGGCTGGCTGGAGGTCTGCAGGGGTACATGTCCTCACTGGGGCCACCTTTCCCCATGAACAAGGCCAGTGTGGTCACCAGAAACAGGTCACAGAACAGGAACTGGAAGTCGGCCAAGGTAGTCTTCACCTGGACACAAACATAAACAAACCCATTAGATTCACCCTTCTAAAATCATAAATACTAATTTAACCTGTACAGAGTATAATATAAAGTTTCCCTGATTTTCTAAGTTTTGTACATGAAACATAAAACATGCATCTAAGCATGTGGGAAGAGCTGAAGGTTACAATTAAAGGGACATTATGGAAGTGTGACAGCCAAAACATGTATAGAAATAATAAATGTCTTCTTCATACATTCTCCTGCAATGCCCTGGTCCTGTAGAATGAGCCCTGGCATTTTTACTGTGATTGCCTGTTTTTCTGTAAAATCACAGAAAAAGAGAGATGCTCGGGTCGAGCAGGCTGCTTCATGCGCGTTCACGCTCAGGCATAGCCCGTAGCATTTGCTATCCGTAGCTTTAGCAGCAGAGAGAGAGGCAGTTCCACTTTGTCGCTGTTCCTAACGCCTAGTGACAAAGCTAGCTACATTTCTGAGGACCCTTAGCTACTTTCTGTAGAACTTTCTTCTAGATATTTCCTGCAAATTAGCAACAAAATAGCCATTTTTGCTCCGAACCGTACTTTGTTTCAGGTGTCATCAAGGATATAAATGTTACAGATACAAAAGACGTCACTGGCGCTTTAGCTCACCTAGTATGACGTCAAACTCTCGTGCAGAAGACCTGGGTTTGATTCTGGATGTTAACATAGTTTATTAAGTGTTTCGTTTTTACATTAATGGTATATATTTTTTTACAGTAAGATGCCCAAATTTTTATTTGAGACTCGCCAAACGGCATTGAATTCACAGATAAAAAAGATGTGGGTTCAACTTTCATTTTGGATCAATTTTTCAAGCAAGGGAAGGGAATGATCTGAGCATGCAGGAGGACTGACCCATCATAAACCTTTGTCGGCTGTGCTGAAGAGAAAGGTACAGAACCAAATTATTTAATTAATTAGCTGCGCTCTCTCCTGTCCTCTGTCCTCTGGGCCACACACACACACACACACACACACACACACACACGACTGTCTCAGCTGTTATTTTCATTAAGGAGTGTGCACGTACAGCATGCGCGCCTCGTGCACGAGCCTACTATTGAAGCTGCCGTTACGCTTTTGGCCTGAGGGGGCGATCACGAGCATAAAAATTCCAAACTCCGTAATGTCCCTTTAAGATTTAAAATTTGATTTAAACATTTCATGTTGCACAAAAAATTAATAAAAAACAATATTTTAGGATTAGCAACCTACTTAGACAGTCTTTTATGATAAAGTCTATAGGAAGTAGAATAAAGAACTGTAAACATTCACAGGAATCTACAGCAGCCTTGTGTCAAATGTAAAGAACTGAGGATAAAGTGATAAAATAAATTTTAAACATGCGGTTGTAAAGCGAGAATCTCCCTGAGACTGTTGGAGAAAGTTTAGTGAACAACCTAGCTGTTTAGTAAAGCAGCTAGGTTGCTGACTGGAGCTGACAGAAGACAACACATTTCTCCAATTCTGAAATCTCTCCACTGGTTGCCCGTGCAGTTCAGGATAAACTTCAAAATTATGCTTCTCACTTACAAATCCTTGAACCATCAAGCTCCTCCATATCTGTGTGAACTTGTCCATTACTACAACCCGCCGCGTGCTCTCAGGTCTGAAGATAAGCTCCTCCTAGCTGTTCCGAATGCACGTTTAAAAAGCCGTGGAGAAAGGGCTTTCTCTGTCTGTGCACCGAAGCTGTGGAACTCATTACCACTGCTAGTGAGGCAAGCACCAACAGCTAGCATTTTTAAATCACGCCTGAAAACTCACTACTTCAACCTAGCTTATACCACATAATTATGAACCTCACTGACATCTGCACTGTTTATAAACTGACTCCACAATTATCGACTTCCGTATTATTGAGGTTCTTTTTTAAAATGTTTTTCTAATTTTTTATTCTCCCTGTGTCTTTTTGATTTTTAGCTGTTAGTTTTTGGGAATTTTGTTGTATTGCCTTTTTATCTTTTATCTGTGTTCGACATGTTTGTATAACGCCGGTTTAATTAACCAACATTTTTAGTGTACAGCACCTTGTTTGGTTGTAATGCCTTGTGAATGCGCTTTATGAATAAAATTGGATTGGATTGGATTGGAACATCCTCTCGTGAGTTTCAGGGTCTAGCCCTCATCATGCTGTGATTTTAAACAAGGCTCAACTAGTCTGAATAAATTTCTTCTCCAAAAAGTCATCTCAGGTTTCTGGAGCCTTTCTCAGTTTAGATCTAAATCAGAAAGTTTGACAAACATGAGAAAACTTTGAAAAGTTCTGGGAGAGTAATTTACAAACAAATCGAGTCATACATGTTGGGACTAAATGGCCTCAAAAATGGTGTCCCCAACCAGTCACAGCCCAGTAAGATACTGGTTTGCGGAGCTCCTTCTCTGCTACTCACCGTGTTCAGGATGAGGACGGAGCAGAACTGAATGAGGCTGTACAACGCCATGTACCTGAAGAGACTGAAGGACGTGACTAGAGAGCACCTACCCTCTCTGGATGGATCAAAGAAGATAAAGTTTTATTTAATTTTTTTATATTTTCATACAAAAAAAAAACTACAGGTTTAGTTAAATATTAAAGAGGCTTGAAATTACTCTAAAATTAGTAGTTTTTTGACCTGATGAGCAGTGGCACACAGCTGATGTTGTCGATCTTGGAGGTGAAAGGTGATGCCACTGAAGCTTCAGCCTCAGACAAAGAAACTCCAACATCAGCAGCTCTGAGAGCCCCACAGTCATTGGCCCCGTCCCCACACATACCTACTCTGTAGCTGCAGAAGATTTCATATAATAGTGATCCTACTAAGAGTCATACAGCTGCCACTGTTCAAAGAATAAACGTTTAGTCATGCTGCTACAGAAATTACAGACACTTGCAATGAGATAATGGAGAAATTAAATGTCTTTTTATTGTCTTACTTCAGTTTCTGCAGCTCCTTCACCAGCTGAGCCTTCTGGTCGGGGGACATCCGTGCAAACACGGTAGCTTTCATCAGAACCTGCAACAAAAGTAATTATTAGATCCATGGAGTCCATAGACATCAACTTTTATGCTGTGGTAAAACTCTTCCTGTTACCTTTGGAAGATATTCGGGGAAGTGGTCACACAGGGCAGCAAAGGACTTGCCGTTAATAGCCAGATGGTATCCATACCCACCCTGATACAGACTCTAGGAGAGGAGGAAAAAACACTGCTTTTCCATGTGCAAGCTTAAAGAGACTTTACGGACTTTTGAATTTTTATGCTCGTGATCGCCCCCTCAGGCCAAAAGCGTAACGGCAGCTTCAATAGTAGGCTCGTGCACGAGGCGCGCATGCTGTACGTGCACACTCCTTAATGAAAATAACAGCTGAGACAGTCCCATGTGTGTGTGTGTGTGTGTGTGTGTGTGTGTGTGGCCCAGAGGACAGAGGACAGGAGAGAGCGCAGCTAATTAATTAAATAATTTGGTTCTGTACCTTTCTCTTCAGCACAGCCGACAAAGGTTTATGATGGGTCAGTCCTCCTGCATGCTCAGATCATTCCCTTCCCTTGCTTGAAAAATTGTTCCAAAATGAAAGTTGAACCCACATCTTTTTTATCTGTGAATTCAATGCCGTTCGGCGAGTCTCAAATAAAAATTTGGGCATCTTACTGTAAAAAAATATACCATTAATGTAAAAAAAGAAACTCTAAATGAACTATGTTCACACCCAGAATCAAACCCAGGTTGTCTGCATGGGAGTCCAACATCTTAGGTGAGCTACACACCAGTAACATTCACAGTATCTGTAACATTTATATCCTTGATGACAGCTGAAACAACGTCAAACCAAAGAACGGTTCGGAGCGAAAATGGCTATTTTGTTGCTAATTTGCAGGAAATATCTAGAAGAAAGTTCTACAGAAAGTAGCTAAGGGTCCTCAGAAATGTAGCTAGCTTTGTCACTAGGCGTTAGGAATAGCTACAAAGTCGCTGAGTTGGCACTACCTCTCTCTCTGCTGCTAAAGCTACTGATAGCAAATGCTACGGGCGATGCCTGAGCGTGAACGCGCATGAAGCAGCCTGCTCGACCCGAGCAGCTCTCTTTTTCTGTGATTTTACAGAAAAAACAGGCAATCACAGTAAAAATGCCAGGGCTCATTCTACAGGACCAGGGCATTGCAGGAGAATGTATGAAGAAGACATTTATTATTTCTATACATGTTTTGGCTGTCAAACTTCCATAATGTCCCTTATTAAACTTCTAACGTCTTGTCAGCCCGACCTCAGGTTTAAAGCTCTCTACAGTTTTACAGCAGAGTGGTATCTGAGAAAAACCGACCTGGTTCACAGCATCTGTGGAGGTTTGTGCAGCTCCATCCTCTAGACTGAACCTCAAAGTGGGCATAGACTGAGTGGTGTGAGGTGTCACGTTGACAAAAATCACCTTCTCATCAGATCCCACCATCGCACAGCTCTTTGCTACATTAACCGCAGTTAAAATGTTGTCTCCTGTGTGAGAAACAACATAACAAATCAATATTTAAAAAACAGCCTTTAATAATAAAGTAATTCCTCAGACTGATTGTGATGTGAATGTGTTCTCACCAGTGACCATGATGTTGCGAATTTGTGCCAGTTTCAAGATGTTAATAACTTTTGCACTTTCAGGTTTCACCAGGTTCTTCATCATCAGTAAGCCCAGAAATTGAAGGTCTTTCTCTACTTCACCTCTTCAAACAAACACAAAGCTGTGTTTATGCATAAAGCAACTTTCATTGTTTAATTTAAAAACAGAAAAAACTTTTTGTTGTTCTCACCGGTCAGTGTTAATCAGGTCTGAATTCACATCCACTGGTTTACAGGCGAGAGCAAGAACTCTGAGGCCTTGGGTGGAGAAGTTCCGCAGCGTGCTGGAAAACTGTGCAGGAACTGGAAACATGGCTCAGATCATTAAACGTGTTTTTATTTTAAGTCTGTGTGTAGGACGAAGGCTGGTCTGAGTGACTAAAACCTGTATCAGCTAGACAGAGGCTGGCCACCATCTCTGGAGACCCTTTGACAAAAGCCAGAGCAGAGCGCCCCCTGTGGGCCACCGTCACCACGCTCATCCTCTGCAGGGCTGAGGAGAAGGGAAACCTCTTAACGATGGCCACAGGTTCACTGGTTCTCTGAGAGGAAAATAAAAAACAAGAATAAATGTTGAAGCTCAAGCAGATCTGACTGGCTGGTTTTTGTTCTTTGTTTACAACCACTTATTGAGTTCTGTTGTGTCTGAAATGGGAAAAAATTCAGCTGTGAAGGAACAAATTAAAAATGAGAGGAAACTTTCAGGATGGCTTGGCTATAATTTAGGAGCAGTCATGTAAAAGTTTCAAAACAATAAGAAAATATATTTAAATACGTTTACATACTGACACAAAAAACTAAGTTTAACCAGCAAGAATACTCACAACTCCTGGAAACAGAGGCTGTTGAGTCGGAGGTCTCATAACGGCCAAAACTTTGTGTTTTCCAAATTCTGTATCTACAACATCCCTATCTCCCTCTGGCTCCTGGAGAGTCTGAAAAATTAGAAACACTATCAAAATAATGATTCTGATGTTTTAATCAACGTCATCTTCTCAAATAACGGATGGCTGCTCATATTGAGCCAGGATCTTCTGGAGGTTTCTTCCTGTAAAAGCAGAGTTTTCCTCTCCACTGTTGCTACGTGCTTGCTTAATATGAGGATTGCTGTAAGTCTCTTGACACAAGTCAGCGACTCGACGCAATCTGCTGGATTTCCTTATACAAGAAACGTAAAAAATAAATATATATAATATACTTTTTTTTAAATACACACACACATTTATTTATATATATATATATATATATATATATATATATATATATATATATATATATATATATATATACATGTGTGTGTATATATATATATATATATATATATATATATATATATATATATATATATATATACACACACATATGTATATATAGCAGTAGCTCAGCAGATAGAGCAGGTTGTCCAGGTATCGGAAGGTTGCAAGTTTGATCTCAGCACCGACCAGATAATGTTGCTGTTGGGCAATTAACCCGCCTTGCCTGCTGGTGGTGGTCGGAGGGACTGGTGGTGCCTGTGTTTGGCAGCCTTGCCTCTGTCAGTGCGCCCCAGGGCAGCTGGGGCTACATCGTATCTCATCACCAACAGCAAGTGAATTGGTGAAAGACTGACTAAATTAAATTGAGTATTCGTACAGAACCATACCCAGCCAGTAGACTCCACCATCTTCAGTTCCAAAGGGTCTCCAAGCTGTTGACCTTGCAGCAGGGTAACAGTGTGGCAGCAGGCCAGGGCAGAAAGCATGTGACCCGGTGGGAGGAGTTTAGGGTCTGGAACCAGTTCTGAGAAACCAGCAGGCCCTTTCTCCATCACCCCCCACACATCCAGACCATCCTCTGTTAGAGTTCCTGTCTGGGAGAATAAATCTATTCCATCAACAAGTAAAGTGATGCAGACTCTTCTCCACATTAACAGACAGTAGACTCACCTTGTCAAAGCAGAACACTGAGACCTTCCCACAGACATTGATACGTGGAGGACTTATGCAGAAAATACCACGATGCTTCAGTCTCCGTTGGGCATAGATAGTTCCTGCGGTGATGGCAGCAGGAAGGGCAGGAGGCACTACGATGGTCACAATATCCAGACTTCTAACGACTAACTGCAGCCAGGTGACCTGGACATACATTGAGTCACAGGTCAGTCAGGAAGGTCACTGAAATTCATTGATCCCATATTGTAGCGCTTACATTGGCTTTGAAGAGGATCACAAAAATGTAAATGGTGCCAATCAGAGCTAAACAGGAGAAACAGATAGAGAAAAATGTTCTTGAAAAGGAAAATCTGATTAAAAAATGTAATAAATCAGCTTCTTTTTAGTGACTGTTTAGTAAACTGATGCAGTTAGTTATCATTAAAGCTTACCAACAACACCAAGAATCAGAAGGAACTTCATGGCATCTTTGTAAAAACGGAAGTTAATTGGCTGAGGGTATAGAATGGAGCTGACCAGGTCACCTTTGGCTGTGAAAAATCCTGCAGCAGAAACAGAAGCTGGTAAATCTGTAAATGTGTCCCTCATAAAGATGGAGACACTTCATGGTTTCTTTACAGACCAGTGCTTGTAACCACAGCAACAGCCCCGTTGCTTCCGGTCCGTCCTCCTTTGGCTTGAATGATGCTGGTACCACAGAACAGAGTGTGTCTGCGCTCAGCCTCTGAGTTGTACTTCCTGTCATCAGCTGGAAGAGGAGTTTTCAGCACTGGAACACTTTCACCTGAGCAGAGATGAGCTCAGATTTATGTAGGCTTCTCACTTCTCACAGGACAAGTTGGCCGTTAACGAATTGCTTTTATTACCAGAATGTGTGAAGCTACAGAAAGAACATATTTATGACTTTATATCTACGTAAAATGACTTGTGTTATAAATCAAAGCCTTTGAACCTCATAGGCCAAGTTATTCCTAAACTCCTTAAGAGTTTTGTGACTGTTCAGGGTTTCTCATATAAAAACAAAACAGAAAATTATCTAACACTTCAGTGAAAACAACAAATCCTTCCAGTCTGCTGCTGCTCGTTTACCTGTGAGCATGCTCTCATTGACGAGACACTCCCCAGCCAGCAGGGCGGCGTCGCAGGGCATCAGCAGACCTTCCTGAGGGATCATCAGACAGTCACCAGGGACCAGCTCCACCGAGCTCACACTTTCTTCCTCTGAGGAAACAGATAGACCAGAACTCTGATCTTAATTAATGAGACAATCCCAAATATAATCTTATTAAAATCCACATAAACGCAAAAACTAACTAAAGTTCAGACAGGAAAATATTTTAAACTCACCTCCTGAGTCTCTGCGTAATGTGATGCTAGTTATAAACCGAGCCATGTTACGGAGGGTGACACTTTGCTGTGGAGGAGAAATAACAGTTATGTTTATTTATTTAATAAATAGAATAAAATCATATAAGGATTAGATCAGACTACTGTTTAATATCTCACCTTACGAGTTTCATAAAGTGAGATACTGATGGAGATAATGGAGATAATAAATATACATAAGGCATAAAAATAATAGGAATCAATGGTCCACAGGGTGATACTGAACACCTGGAACACATAGAATGGATTGAGGACCTGGAGGAGAAGGAAAAGGTGAAAAAAGATAAATCTGATTATTTGAATTTTAAACTAAATCTGACTTTCTGCTTGAATTAATCAAAGTTAAACTACATCCAGCTTCTTCTGTATTTTGTAGAATTTGAATTTGTCCTAACTCACCTCCTCAAACAGCAGCCTCATGTATGACTTCACGGGTACATCAATGAGGTTGGCTCCAAACGTGGACCTCCTGATGACAGAAACGCAAGAAGTGAATCTGAAATTACCTCTGAGATCAAAATGACTTTATTTATGTCTTTTACCTCAAACTCTGCTCCCGAGGACTCAGCCCCTTTTGGAAGCCATTCAAATCTTTGCAAGTCCAATCCTCATTGAGGACACTGAAGACAGATCAAAGAGTTTAACAGTGTTAGAGAAACCATCAGAACATTCATCTAAAGCAGGAATGTTGTCCCCACTCTACTTATCGACAGTATCCACCCGTTTTATTACCTAACACGGCAGAAAGCCCCCTTCCTGTCGAGCCACACATAACGCAGTCCCTCAAAAAGGTAGTACCGCAGCAGCGTCTTCTACAACACGATAAAAGTCATTTCAATAGAGATGATCACTAAGTCATTTGTTACAATCGAGCTTGATCAGGCGTTTACCTCCTCCTTGTGAAGTTGAACGTTGTCTCTCCATTCAGCCTCCTCTGGCTGTCCCAACGAGTCCAAACTGAAGGAGATGTCATAGTAAGAAGAGCGCTGCTCTTGTACAGATTTAGGTCAGAGGTAAAAAGCACGGCGCTCACCTGCCCTCCTCTATCTCCTCTGTCTGCACCTCCACCACATGTTGCTCACCAAAGCTGTCCTGACAGAAAACATAATTTAAATACGATGGTGACAGTCAGAAACTGGGAAACACAAGACAACCGTAATGATGTCGGGTGTAAAGGGGGTTTCATTCTCACTCTCAGCAGGAGAACGTCAGCCAAAGCCAGAGGGCAGGGCCGGCAGCGGACAAGGACACCGAGTCGAGGACGCCAGTGAAAGATGATCAAGAGGAGACCCAAAGACAGCAGGGACAGCAGACAACACAACCACACCCGCCAGCGCACCCGCTTAAACCCCTGAACATCCTGGAGGAGCAAAGACATAAATCCTGAGGAATCATCAGAAACTACAACGTGATGTTGATTCTATGAGATGTCTGTGAAGGTTCTCAGTCATCCAGGTCATTGTAATCTAAGGAGCTTTGAAAGAAAAGCGTCTGGACTTCTTTGAGTTGCTTGAAGACGTTTCACCTCTCATTCGAGAGGCTTCTTCAGTTCTAAGGTCAAATGGTGGAGAGTCCCAGATTCAAACCCAGTGGGAGTTTCCCCCCCAAAGAGGGGAAATTCCCACTGAGCCACCCACCCACCCTCACATGAGTCAAGGTGTGAGGGTGGGTGTGGGTCCTATTCAGCCAGAGTTTCGAGTGAGCTCATTGTGAAGCCTGGCCCCACCCTATCATGTGAATTCCTGAGGTCAGATGGCCCAGGATATGCGTGGGCGTTGAGGCATCCGGGAAGGGATCTCAAAACTGGATTATAGATGGCAGACAGTTGGTGTCGTAAACCACCGCCTGTGTTCAAAGATGGTTGCTCACAGTGGACATAAATGGCTTCCTTTACTCCTCTTTCAAACCATCTGTCCTCTCTGTCCAAAATGTGAACGTTGGCATCCTCGAAAGAGAGACCTTTGTCCTTTAGATGCAAATGAACTGCTGAGTCCTGTCCCGTGGAGGTGGCTCTTCTATGTTGTGCCATGCGCTTGTGAAGTGGCTGTTTGGTTCCTCCGATGTAGAGGTCTGGGCATTCCTCGCTGCACTGTACAGCATACACCACATTGTTCAGTTTGTGTTCAGGAGTTTTGTCTTTCGGGTGAACCAGTTTCTGTCTGAGTGTGTTGCTGGGTCTAAAGTACACTGGTATGTCGTGTTTGGAGAAAACCCTCCTGAGTTTCTCTGATACTGATGATTCTATGAGATGTTTACACAAACAGAAACGAGGTCACACGTGGGCTTATTCTCTATTCTTTTTTAATGTTCATTATTTAATGATGTTCAGCAGAACCACTGAGGAGGATCTTACCATGTGTGAGTCAGTACTGAAGAGGGGGTCTCGTGGACTGGGCGAGGGGAGTCCGCTCTGCGGATCCACAGCACTGCCTACAAGACATGAATTAGAGTCAAAACACACCAGAGTTGATTTTTTTTATTGATTTAACTATAATCTACATCCTGATCATAGTGTTTTAGTGAAGGAGGATATAAAAGTCAAGGCAACAGGATTTTATATATAAGAAACATCATTGCAACTGATATTTTGTGCTTGCACTTATGTATTCAAAGATTCAAAGATTCAAAGATTCAAAGTCATTTATTGTCATATTCTCCACATGTGCAGGACATACAGAGAAATGAAATTCAGTTTCAGCACACACAATTCAAAGATCAGACATACGTGGGTAAGACACATAACAAGAATTGGTGACTGCAGTCATTCGCAACATGAGTCGCGCTACCTTAATAGATAGATGAAAAGGGTGTTACATGAGGGAAGTTCAGGGAGGGAGAAAAAAAAAGGCATTAACAGGGTTACACCAGCAGGGTGTAGCACTCCAATGCAAAAAAACACCCGACATGTAAGCAACAAACGTCACAGTTCACAACATGAGACCCAGTAGGTAGGGGGGAGGGGCTGGGATCCTGGTTCCTCAGCGGGGGCGGCCCGTTGTGGCGCTCAACCAGCTGGCTCCGCAGGTGGGAGGGAGATCCTTAGGGAAGCACAGGGAGTAGTGAGTCCTTAGCTTGATGACCTCGGTGGAGACCTCAATCTGAAGGCGGGGGGTGGGTGGATAGAGATTCACAGCATTTGTCTGCATTCCTTCCAGCGTGGGGGTTTTGCATGCAACTCCAAGGCTGCTTATGGCGTCAGATTCGATAACAGAAACTTTGTTTGGGTCAGACAGAGATAATTTTTTCTCTCTGCCTTAAGTCTGTATTGATCATTCAAGTCCTCCAGTGAAGCCAATTCAGTAATTAAACATCTCCACACCATCCGGTGACCCTTTCCGAGATGTTATCAATCCTGCGCGCTAACACCGGTAACGCAGCTAAGACATTGTCCAGCTTGCGATTCACCTCGAGCAACGTCCCAGTCTGTGAGGTATCCACACGGACGGTGCCGTCCATGGTTGCGGGTCGCCCTCCAATCGCTCCCGTCATCCCAATTTTGCGGAAAGCCAGATATCCTCCCACTCCAATCAGAAGAAATCCAACAATCATCAGGCCAAATATCCACATATCTTCGACGTCCTCAATGGACAGCTGAGAGAGACAGATGATATTCCACTTTTTCCAGGAATCGAACATATATCCCGCTGCATGTGTCCCCTGAGGACAAGCGTGAGCCCCCTCCTCCGTTCTCATTGTAGAAAAAATCTTATCAATCGCGTTGAATGACCAATTAATTAAGTCCATGTTTAAAAATAAAAGGTGATTGCAGAGGAAATGCAGAGAAGCGCTCTGTAGGCAGACGGGACAAAAAGAGCCTTGGGAAAACACAGATAAGGGAGGAAAGGCAGAAGCGTCTGCTCCCTGTGAGTGCCGGAAATAATGTTTATGTTTGTGTTTATTCATTTAGCAGACGCTTTTATCCAAAGCGACTTACAATTTATAACCTATAGGGCATGTTGTGATCTGTGGGGGAAACCGGAGTACCCGGAGGAAACACACGCATGCATGGGGAGAACACGCAACTACACGCAGAAAGGCTGCAGCCGAGTTTCGAACCTGCAACCTTCGTGCTGCGAGGCAACAGTGCTAACCACTGCACCACCATGCAGCCCGTGCAGTATAAATGATCAACATCACATTTATTAATTCAAAGTCCTTTTTATAGCGACACCGAACTTTCAGTCACCTTTACACAACAGGTTACAGACCAAACATCATAATGACGCAGCTTTTGTTAGATTCATAACCACACTGCACAACTCTGTGTCCTCAAAGACAGCAGGGAGGTTTGTCTCAGCAGACAAAGACTCAGCTCCACCTGCTTTTCTTATCAACAGAGTGACGCAGCCTTATATCTGAACTGGGTCAATTTTAAATATATCAGTTGTGTTTTACGACCCTGTTCCCACAAAAAGTTGTGATTCTATGTAAAATGCAAATCATTACAGAATGATTTACAAATGATTTAAACAGCACTGATTTATACAATTTCTCTTGTTTTTATAGAAGCAACAAGTTTATGGCATGATGAATCAATTCTTTATGTCAGATTTCACCTACTAGATTATCCAAATACCTTTTGACTAACAGAACTGTGTTTAGTTTATCTGAAATATGTTTATATTTTTTTAGCATCAGAGGTTAGATGTGTTTATTTAAAATTTGCAAGAGTTTTCATCTAACCTTTTTTTATTCAATACTTTCCTTGTTGTCCCTGTAAATGTTTCAACTCAGTACAGGTTTAAATTATTTGTGAATCAAGGTCACTTTAAAAAAATTGTAATTGACGTTTTTATAATGCTTGGTAATAATAATAATAATAATAAGAAGAAGAAGAAGAATATGACTACTATAATAATAATAACAATGATTATTATTATTATTATTATACTAATAACAAGAATAATACGTTGTTTTTGTATTATTGTTGTTGTTATTGTTATTAATAATAATAATATGTACTCTCCACAAAAATTAAACATTTCTTAGTTTGCATTTGTAATCTCAATTAGTTATTTGTCATTCATAAGACCATATAAGATTAATACTAATGTTGTTTGTAGGAGCCATATGTGTCATTTCTTTTTGCGCACTTGAGAGGAGGCTTTGCCTCATGTTATTGGTTAATTGCTTGTGGAAGCACCAGCCTACTTAAGCCAACACAGATTGGACTCAGGTGTTGCTGGATGGGACAAACAGTTTTTTACTGTGTGGTGAGGACTGTGGCTGTGTGTAAAGGACTCTGCGGACTGTCATTGGGGCAAGTAACGCATTCACTGAAACCCACTTTAACTGCTGTAAATGGATCATGGACATTTTGGAACAAGACAACATAATAAACATCATCAGAAATAAACTCAAGCTGCATTTCTTTAAGCACACGTAAAGACCACCCGCAACAGCAACCAGGTAGTGCCAGTGTATAGGGCATTGGCGCTATATTGTTCAATTATAAAGTTAAAACAGTTAAATAAATAAAATTGTATTTCAGAGATCTATTCTTAATGTTTATATTTAATATAATCTAGTTCAATAAAAATTATTTCTACATATACATATAGTATTTATATTGATTATAAAACGTAGATTAAAAACGTAGCATGAGGTTTAATTGAGACCTTAAATTTTACTACGGTCAGTAAATGCGTCACGGTTCGACCAAAACACTTTCGAGACAAACATGAACTTTAAAAGCTAAAAACGAAAGTAAACACGATCTACAACGTTAAATCGTGTCCCATTCTCATATAAAAGTCTGTTTTTATGCGGTCGCAATTAAAAATGTAACAAAAACACGTCTGAAGTTCATCCGGATACTCACTTCCGCTTCCAAATTTATCCGAAAATACAAAAACAAACCGAGTTTGGTTCCGCTGGAGCAGCAACAAAACTCAGCATCAACCACAGATCGCGAGTTTAAAGTGAACGGTCACCTGAAATAATAAAAAATAATGTTAGAAGTGTGTTAATGGACCCCACCTTGTAGAGGCGCAGCTCCTGCGTGGTATGAGCCACACGCGACTGATTCCCACAGAAAACTTGTCTAACCGGCTTTTAGGGTAAATATTAGAGATAATCACCTAAACCTGCCTCATCTAAAAACTAAAAAAGAAACAAAGCTAAAGAATATCGTAAATGTATAACTTTCCTTTTACCTTCTACAATATAAGCGCAACTGCACCTGCGCAGATATGATAAAAATAAATGACAGCACCATTTATTATAGGGTTTATTTTAAAATCATTTGTGGGTATATTACACATAATCTAAGGTTCTTATTTCGGATCAAACACCTTCTTATCCAAGTCACCTCATGTAAGCTGCCACACCACATGTTAAACACCAAGTTATCATCAAGGTGACATTTTTCTCATGATAACAGCTTATTTGGTTTAAATGTCACTGCTTCAACTTCTCCACTTGCCTCCTATTGCTGAGGCTTTGTGGACTAATCACATGCTTGCTCTGTTCAAGGCCAAACTCAAGCAAAAGTAGCAGATTTGAAGCAATTCATCACAGCATCATATGTTTTAGAAAAGGAGTATGTCAGCACAAATCCCTACCAAGTAGCGTTATATTCAGTGACTTGAAAAAAATAAGAGGAAGTCAAAATAAAGCCCCTATGATGCATTTTATTAAATATGAAGACAATAAAGCTTTAGGATGGATGTCTAAAGCCAGAAGAAACACATCATTAGAAGCTTCAAGTGAACCCAAAACACAGACTTCACTTTCTCATGAGTCATTTTGCTGCTGATCTATCAAATTACAGCTTCCTAGCCTTGTGACTTTTCAGCAGCAGACAGGGCAGCTCTTCAGAAAGAGAACAATGCAGCAAACAAAATGTTGGACTTCCCCTAACTGCCCTGGAGGACTTTTGCAGGGACAGAACCAATTGTTTGTTATTGCTACTGTCCTCTGGAAGACAGGGCCTAACAGGCCCCTGAGATGTTGCACCATGAGAATGGAAAAAAAAAAGCTTTTACCCACAAAAATCTACTTGATTTCTCCACTAAATAGTAACTTAATTATTAGTTTTAAATTTCACAAATTTATTTTTTTATATTATGTGCTGTAAGGGAATAATTGTGATGACTAAATGTTTATATTTCCTCTAAGAGATCCAGTAGAAGGAGGTTTTCCAAGACATTTTAAAGCATGTTATACATTTAAAAGTTTCACTTTTTGTTTTAGTTACTCAAAATAAATGTTCAGCAGAGTCTGAAAAAGGGAAACTGTGACACGTTAACAAATGTGGAGAAATAGACTATAGTCATATATAGTCATCTGAGCTCAGAAAGCAAAATTCAGTCTACAACCCTGAATAGCACAACACAGGATTTCACTGGCAGGCCATGAGAAGTCTTACAGATAAACACCAATTCTGAATATTTTCTCTGTTATTACAAAACTGTTACAATATTACAATAACACGCATATATTAGAAGTAATATTAAATATATAGAATAAATATATATTATTTATCTTATTGAAGATCTTTTTTATTACCTATCTGTTGTCCTTTATAAATAAGCCTCATACATGTGTGCATTTGGTCCTATAACCCAAGGAAACAGTTGTATTACTGCAAGGAAAGGAAATACTGTTCAACTATTCACAATTGAGAGATTGGGGATTGCACTAATTGCATCATGTAAGGGGGGGGCAACAGATTTTTTTAAACGTAAAACATAACTCTGCATTTACACGTAACAGTTTTAATTTGTGTGATATGGTTTTATATTTACTGTGCACATAAAACAATAGTAAAAACTGGCACACCTGCATCTCGGAGAGGGTCACCGGATGGTGTGGAGATGTTTAAAACCTAAATTGGCTTCACTGAAGGACTGGAATGACCAGTTACAGACTGAAGGCAGAGAGGAAAATTATCTCTGCCTGACCCAAACAAAGTCTTGTTGTCCAAATCTGACGCCAAGGCAACCTTTGAGATGCCAACAACAACAACCCCCACGAAGGAAGGAATGCAGACAGATGCTGTGGGAACCCCCCCCCCCCCCTTCAGATTGTGGACTTCTGCCTAGCGAGGTCATCAACCTGCAAGGTCAATGTGCTCTGCGTTCCTCCCAAGATCTCCCTCCCACCTGTGGTCTACAGTGGTTGAGCACCGTACATGCCGTACATGGCTGCTCTCGCTGGGGGGAAACAGGATCCCAGCCCCCCCTGCCTTCCTATTGTGATGTTGTGTTGTGTTATCTGTTGCCTATCTGTTGAGGTGTTTTTTTCGCAGAGCAAAGCTGCCCTCCTGGGGGGAGAGTAGCTGTGAGGTGCCTTTTTTCCCTCCTCCCGAATCCATTCCTCATGTTATCCTTTTCTCTCTCTATTAAGGTAGCGCGACTCGGTTGCGAATGACCACAGTCACCAATTCTTGTCATGTGTCTTGCCCAGTATGTCTGATCTTTGAATTGTGTGTACTGAAACTCTAATTTCCCTGAAACTCTAATTTTCCTTCCCTGGGACAAATAAAGCTTTTCATTTTTTCATTTTCATTTTCAGCTTTTCATTTTTTATATGATTATGTTTTCATATTTTTTATGAATCCCTATAAAATAAACTAACTGGAGTGAATTGAATGCAAACAAGTGAGGTGTATTCACAGTACTTAAAGACAAATATTGGAAATGCATTTATATTTAAGAAAGACTCAAGAAGATGACTTTGTTTTTCTTGCAGAATAATCACTTACATGCAGTTTGTGGCAGACATACTTGATTTGGTTGCAATACTCAATTTGTCCTCTAGATGTCCCTGTTTTCTGTCAAACCTTTAAATTGCAGATATTTGGTAACTTTTGGCTTTATTTATAGCCCATTATTAGGACTTAATGTTTTTAGGATTTACTGATGATTATGCTTAAGTTATAACAAAAATTTAAGGGGTGTTCGTTAAGCCAAACAACCAGAAGATAGGAAACGGTAAATAATAATCTAAGTAAGCAGCTAGATATTTATGCATCGTTTCTATTATATTATAAATTGCACAGAACACATATCGAGTATGATAATTAAATGTAACTAATAAAAAAGTAACTGCGGTCGAAGCGGTAACAGATTAGACACCGTTGGTTCTGGTTAGAAGCTGGCTGAACCCTCCGTCTCTGCTGCTATGCTGAAGAAATGTTACTTTAGAAGTACTTACCACGTCTGTTCATCCTTTCGTCACGATAACATCTTCCACATAGCTCCGAAAATATGACCCCGTCCCAATACAGGACACGAAAGCCTCTGTCAAAACCAAACACAAAGCTACAGTAGCTTCGCTTTCTACGGCAAGTCTGGTGGTCCAAATCTATCTCTCGCCTGACCAGTGAGAATCCAGATTGGACTGTTTAGTGGGTGCAGAAATCATTTAAAACGGTTTTACTTGAGGTGAATAGATTTCTTTATCACAGTATTTGGGGGGAATCGTCTTAGAAGTTACCATAAAACTGGGGTTAAATTTTCTGAAAATATTAACATTATAAATAAAGTTACAGCTAAATACCCTGCAAGAGTTTGTCAAATTTATTTTGAGTGTTCTCTTTTTCACAAATAAGACAGCTATGTAATGTGCAAAAACACATGCAAGCATACTAGATAGTTTATTTTCACCATTATTTGCTTAAATAAGTGTGGTTTGCATATTAAGCTGCTTTAGTTACATTAATAATTAACACTGATTTCTCTTTATAAGGTGAGATTTCAAAGATCCTGTCTTAATCGTGATTTTATATATGCAATTAGTCGTGATTATATATATATATATATATATATATATATATATATATATATATATAGTGTGTGTGTGTGTCATAACCTCATTAAAGAAGGCAAAACACATTTTCTCTTTGTTTGTTTACTGTAAATATGTTTATTGCAGTTTAGGTTAGAGCATAAATAATTTTGTTTTGTTTTTCTTGCAGGACTTCAATAAGCATAACTACAGACTAAATCCACCACCATGCAAACCATTTTTTTCATAATTCTGACAAATAAAAACTATTATATGTAATGCTGAAAAACACAATATAAGTAGTTCTTCGGTGTTTTTTACAGAACACTTTTCATTCCCCTACACACACACACACACACACACACACACACACACACACACACACACACACACACACACACACACACAGTATATATACCAGCCAGGTAACATGTGCTAGATGTTCATGACACCACTGCTTTTTTTCTAGAAAAGTGACCCTGAGGCACAGGAGCTCTTAAACATGTGAGAAAAAGAAAGTTTTTATATACCTTTAAGCAAGTCTTAGTACAGTTTATGATTGTGTGGCGGCGATAAAGTGTGAAGAGGTCCTGAAATTTAGACAAACGATCATCAGTAAACTTGTCACGAGAGTCAATCTTCCACCAGTACACCTGTAGACCAACAACGCATTGATTATGATTAAAAGTATGAAACACTGACTGCCTCTGAGGTAACTTCACTGTCCAGTTTTCATCATAATATGATACTAATACTGTAATAAATACATTGACAAGGTACACCTTGTGCCCCGAAATATTCAGACTCATCAAGAAAAATGCTTACTGTCATCAATATTTAACTCCAAATTTATTTCTAATCGCTTAACAACAGAATATGTGAGGCTGATGAAACAGACATGACTAAAACCGAAGGTTGTTTATGTTTATTTATTTGTCTTCAGCAAAGTGACTTTAATTGTGTATTATACTATATTCATATATATTATAGAACTGGGATACAAATCTCATGAATAAACATGATGAAAACAGATGATCTAAGGATATTTTTGCCCATCTGTATGAGGACAGCAGGTATTTGCCTTCGTTCCACCAATAGCTGGGACAGCTGGTGCTGCAGCAAGCACACAGGATATACTCGTACAACCCATCCTGATGATAAAAACAGAGTTTAGGCAAAGCAAGGCAATGCTTAATGCCCCTGTAACTCCTATTCATGTGTGCAAACTGGTTTAATAAGGTCTTATTAACATAATACTTTGTTTTAGTTCAGATTTTTAAAATTAAAATAACATTCATTTATTGCTGTAATCATCAGAGTCTACAAACTCTGGTTTTCTCATCTTCTGACTTAATCCTAAGTATGAAGATCTGTTTTGCTGCAGATGTGTTTAATGCAATAAT